ACAGAGTACGTGTTCGAGTCCTGCAACGTTGTGAGCAGGGTCAAGAAGGTTAGAGTATGACAGTGATATCCAACATACGTTGGTAATCAAGACGCTGCCGGTCATGACGAGTGGAATAATTGGTGGGTCTCGAGTATTTGGTGGAAGCGACTTGTTGTCCCTGAAGGTCTGTGCAATTTCGAGGGCCTTTTATGTGAAGCGCACAGGTCCGTGACGCTCAAGTTCTTCTAGCATAGACTCAGTGACTTGCCGGGAGTTAGCATTATCCGAGGGAACATCATGCTTTGGAAGAGCCGGAATCTTGTCCGGTTGGACGTCCCGGAAAGTCTTTCATGGAGTAAGAGAATCATACGTACAGAACGATAGCCGTTTCTGATTCCTAGGTATCAGTGGGCCTCGTCTTACTGGCATGCATGGGAACGTACAACTGGTTCCGGGATAGTGGCGCGCTCAGTGAGACGAACGCTATTCGCTAACAGGATCCAGGGATGTTCTCAGGATCATCGGTGTTTCATCGCGAAGAAAGCTGCAGTCGAGTACATTGCCAAGATGAACAACAGCTAATGACGGTAGCCGCAGAGAGGAGGATAGACAGCATTGTCAGAACTCTGGATCAAGGGAAGGGTCTGGCACTGGGCAAAGCACATCGCCATCGCAAGTAAAAGGCTCCGGGGGAGTGCTGGGTATCGTACTCTGGCTAATGCCGATGGTGAGTGGGGGACGACATTTTGCAATGCAAAGCACGCACGATGTTCGGCGAACATGGGATAGAAAAGATCTATTCACGTACTTGCATTTGTGCTGGAAGGGGTTAGCAATGTTGCTGAAGTTCGACCCTTCTTACCCCAGTGGTCGACGAGCGTAGAAAGAGCGATGAGTTGCCACCAACTGGCACCCCGCGTGAGAAAATTACGTACGATAGCTCACTTTTGCACTCCGACGCCTCATCTTCACCCCTTTCGAACGTCTTGTAGACTTGTCGAGAGTACATGGAAAAGAACTAAGGCATAGCTTTACGGCTCTGTCAAAGTCCTATCCACGGCAGAGTGAAGTCCCCATGGGGCTAATGTAGTGCTGCGCGGCCGGTGGGGCTGGGCGACGCGGGTCTTGATGCGCGGGTCCTAGAGGCGTCCGCAGGGGCTGCCAAGGGGTTGGGAGGTGGATGGAAGACAAGGGGAGAGGACCAGCCGGGGGAAGGGGTTGCTGAGGTCAGTCGGTCGGCTCGCTCGTTCGCTCGCAGATACTTTACTAGATTCTGGTCTGATGGTCTGCTGCTGGTACGATACAGAGGGAACTAGAATTTATACGTGCGTCCGTCTGAGTGTCCGTGCGCGATCGTACACGATCTCCCTCCCCCTGCCGACTCGTCGTAACCCTCTTCCGATTTGCCCTCTCTCGTCCGTTCCTGTGCCGCGACGAGCCTATCGCCCGTGCGTGCGGCAGTTGCTGTGGTCGAGTGGTGGTAGCCTCGAGTCCTGGCGGATCGAGGGCGCCAACTGATGGATAGGGGTCGTCGTCGTGTGGCGGAGCCGGGCCGCTGATAAGCTCCCTGTGTCGAGCGAGGCACGTCCCCGCCCGCTTTGTCGTGCCGGCGTCGCGGTCCGTTGGTAGCTGAGTGGCGGGCGCCGATCCAGGTACGTCGTCGAGAGCCGGGAGGGCGAGGTCGTTGAGGCGGGAGCGAAAGAGAGGTCGTCGCACAGCCACGGGCGTTGAGTAGCGGTGGCGGGGCCATGCTGGCGGGCGTATGTCGAGTGGGGGTGCCACACTAAGCTGTCTATCACTTCTGAGCGGTATCTCCTCTTGCACATCATCCGCTTTCTCCCCGCGGTAATCCCGCACCGTCGGAGTCAGCAAGCGGCCGATGCTTCTCTCTTGTTTGCGTCAACAACAACAAAACTTAAGGTTGCAAACTCGTGCGTCTTCAGGTATCGCTTGAGCAGAAAGTCTGCATCATCCGAATCGCTTGATAGTGATTCATCCGAGTGCAGATGCTCGCTTGTCGCAATTGGCCGGGGTGAGTCGTGACTAGCGGCCACCCGTACTTAATGAAAGGAACTGAAGCTCAGCAATGCCACTTGTACTTCATGAGAATGTGAGCAGATATCTACCTCGCCTGAGCGGCGCATGCACAGGGTCTTTTGACAGTTACTCCATTGGTATAGCACTTCACACGCCGGTTGTACGTTCCCATGCATGCCAGTAAGACGAGGCCCGCTGATACCTAGGAATCAGAAACGGCTATCGTTCTGTACGTATGATTCTCTTACTCCATGAAAGACTTTCCGGGACGTCCAACCGGACAAGATTCCGGCTCTTCCAAAGCATGATGTTCCCTCGGATAATGCTAACTCCCGGCAAGTCACTGAGTCTATGCTAGAAGAACTTGAGCGTCACGGACCTGTGCGCTTCACATAAAAGGCCCTCGAAATTGCACAGACCTTCAGGGACAACAAGTCGCTTCCACCAAATACTCGAGACCCACCAATTATTCCACTCGTCATGACCGGCAGCGTCTTGATTACCAACGTATGTTGGATATCACTGTCATACTCTAACCTTCTTGACCCTGCTCACAACGTTGCAGGACTCGAACACGTACTCTGTGTCCATTGTCATCCACAACGCGGCCTGCATTACCTCCGGCGTTCCATACGCCGACTTCAACCTCATCCCGG